AAAGGTAATGAACAGAACCAGTGACAAAGGGCAGCCCTGGCGGAGTCCAACCCTCATCGGGAACAGGTCCAACTTACTACCGGCTATGCGGACCAAACTCACGCTCCTCTGGTAAAGGGACTGAATGGTCCTTAACAGAAAGCCACCCACCTCATACTCCTGGAGCGTCCCCCACAGAGTGCCCCTGGGGACACAGTCATAAACCTTCTCCAAATCCACAAAACACACGTGGATTGGTTGGGCAAACTCCCATGCCCCTCCATCACCCTTGCAAGGGTATAGAGCTGGTCCACAGTTCCACGGCCAGGACGAAAACCACATTGCTCCTCCTCAATCTGAGATTCGACTATCGATCGGACCCTCCTCTCCAGTACTTTTCCAGGGAGGCTGAGGAGTGTGATCCCCCTATAGTTGGAACACAACCTCTGGTCACCCTTCTAAAAGATGGGGGCCACCACCCCAGTCTGCCACTCCACAGGAACTGCCCCCGATGACCACGCAATGTTGCAGAGACATGTCAACCATGACAGTCCTACAACATCCATAGCCTTGAGATACCCAGGATGAATCTCATCCACCCCTGGGGCTCTGCCGCTGTGTAGTTGTTTGACTACCTCAGCAACTTCTGCCCCCAAGATTGGACAGTCCATCCCCATGTCTCCTGGCTCTGGTTCCTCCTCGGAATGCGTGTAGGTGGGATTGAGGAGCTCCTCAAAGTATTCCTTCCACCGTCCGACCATAGCCCCAGTTGATGTCAGCAGCTCCCCATCCCCACTGTAAACAGTGTGAGCGAGTTGCTGTCTTCCTCTCCTGAGGCGTCGGACAGTTTGCCAGAACCTCTTTGGAGCCGATCGATAGTCTTTCTCCATGGCCTGACCAAACTCCTCCCACGCCCGAGATTTTGCCTTGGCAACTGCCACTGCTGCACCCCGCTTGGATATCCGGTACCTATCTGCTGCCTCCGGAGACCCACAGACCAGCCACGCCTTGTAGGCCTCCTTCTTCAGCCTGACGGCTCCCCGAACCTCTGGTGTCCACCAGCGGGTACGGGGGTTACAACCACAACTGGCACCGGCCACCTTGCGACTACAGCTAGCAACAGCCGCCTCAACAATCGCAGAGTGGAAGAAGGCCCGCTCGGAGTCAATGTCCCCCACTGCTCTCGGGACACGGTCAAAGCTCTGCCGGAGGTGGGAGTTGAAGACCGTCTTGACAGGGTCTTCTGTCAGGCGTTCCCAGCAGACCCTCACTATGCGTTTGGGTCTGCCAGGTCTACGCAGCATCTTCCCCTGCCATCTGATCCAACTCACCACCAGGTGGTGATCAGTTGACAGCTCCGCTCCTCTCTTCACTCGGGTATCCAAAACATACGGCCGTAGGTCAGATGATAAGACTACAAAGTCTATCATCGACTTGTGACCTAGGCTGCCCTGGTACCAAGTGTACCGATGGGCATCCTTATGTTCGAACATGGTGTTCGTTATGGCCAAACTGCGGCTTGCACAGAAGTCCAATAATGAAACACCACTTGAGTTCAGATCAGGCGGGCCGTCCCTCCCAATCACACCCCTCCAGGTCATGCTGTCATTGCCCAGGTGAGCATTGAAGTCCCCCAGCAGGACAATGGAGTCCCCTGATGGAGCACTATCTAGCACTCGTCCCAGGGATTTCAAAAAGGGTGGGTACTCTGAACTGGTATTTAGCCCATAAGCGCAAACTACAGTCAGGACCCGTTCCCCGACCCGAAGGCACAGGGAAGCTACCCTCTCGTCCACTGGGGTAAACCCCAACACACAGGCAGAGAGTCTTGGGGCTAGCAAAAAGCCAGTTTTGAAAAGTTTTGAATTGGCACCGTCTTCCTGACATCACTCACTCCTGCCTATAAAGGACACAAAGACATATTTTGAAAGATTGTTACTGTTTATACAATAAATTAGGCCTACTTTTCAAACCTTAGCTCTTTCATATCTTTCATATTCTATGTATTATACTTACTGTACACACCACATTACACTTTACTGCTTATTCCACATAGTTGGATGTTAAACTGCATTTTGTTGTTCCAGTATTGGTCATTTTAGGTTAGTCCAGTCATCCAGAAACAAGATTCAGGATAGATGACTAGGCTAATATCTCCCGCTAACACCACAGACATATTGGACCTGAAAAATATTTTTTTCTACCTCAGAGATAAGTACTTGTAGTTGTTCGCTACCATTTTAGTCTGGACTGTACGTAACATTACTATGATAAATATATAGTTACCACTTAAAACCATTCTAGTTATTAATTTAGCCGTGTTGAATTCAATTTAATTACGTTAACAACTTTGTTCAATGACCATGCCAGTCCAGTTCTCACTGCCACCTGGCTGCGGTCTGTGTAGCTAGCTAAAAACAGTATGAACAGCTGAGGCTCTGTCCTCTGAGCACATACTTAGTATTTTGATAGAATCAAATTCATGACATTTTTATCATTCACATATTTTTGTTTCTGCTGTTGGACGATAGAACAAGTATGAATTACTGAGTGGAGCGCGGGTCCGGTAGACTACCTGCTTTCCATTGCTATCCCGAAGCTCTCCTCAAGTTCACTCGTCTCATCGCATGAGTGAAAAAAACAAAAGCTCTCCGCTGCTCCTTTGTCACTCAACAGAGAGGAGAAAAACTTCTCGCTCTATAAACTGTGATAACGCAATACTCGCGAACCGAGTCGCTACTTTTGGCCCTTCTTTACAGAAATAAATCTAGGGGTGAAAAATCTGTAAATCTAGCCAAAAAGACAGTTGGAAAAAAAGAAGTGGAACTGGAACTGAAGGGGATTATGCAATCTGATTGGTTGGAAGCGTCATGTGGGGAGCTGTGCCAGCTAGATGCAGAAATTAAAGGAGAAGCGCTACAGCCCAATATTGCCCAAAATGTTTAATCCATTTGTTTATCCACAAGGATGGAAAATTATTTTCCAGGACAACTCAAAAATTTCCAGGACATTTTGCAATTCCCCCCATTTTCCATGTGTTTTCCATGACTGGAAAATTGGACTATCATTTTCCAGGTTTTCCAGGACACGTGGGAACCCTGAATAACTTGTGGTTATTCCTGTTTACTGGCTTCGGTTCTTTAAACAACTCTGGACCTTTTTACCTACTGGTGTCAAATTACAAATCCGAACGCTGGTGCGTTAGCTCAGTGCAGATTCTGAAACCTGAAACACAGGGGCTATGCTGTCTCTATTGGGGATCACAAATCAAAGCTGGTCACCATGACATGTGGGGTCCCCCAAGGCTCAGTTCTAGGACGCTACTCTTCAATCTCTACATGCTCTCCTTGGATCAGGTCATACTTAATGACAACATTGCCTATCATTGCTATGCTGATGACACCCAGATCTACCTAACCCTATGACCTGCTGACTATCATCCACCAGACTCACTCTATCAGTGTCTAGAACAAGTAAACGACTGGATGCAGTCAAACTTCCTTCAGTTAAACAAAGACAACACTGAAGTTATTAAGAAGATTAGGATGGATGTTATTGCTCAGCTAGACTCCAGGGGAATAAAGACAAAGACCCAGGTTAGAAATCTTGGTGTTATCATTGACTCAGACCTGAGCTTCTCTGGACATATTAAGGCTATAACTAAATCAGCGTTTTATAAACTTCATCAAATATCAAGAGTCAGAGGTCTCATGTCCAGACCAGACTTAGAGAAAATCATTCATGCTTTTATTTCTAGTGGGCTGGACTATAGCAATTGTCTCCTAACTGGTCTTCCCAAAAAAATCTGTGAAGCAACTGCAGCTTGTTCAGAATGCTGCTGCTAGAGTCTTAACAAGAACCAAGAGAACCAAACACATCACTCCTGTTCTTAGATCCCTACACTGGTTACCAGTAAACTACAGAATAGACTTCAAAGTGCTCCTACTAGTTTATAAATCACTCAGTGGCATGGGACCAAAATACATGTCAGATCTCATTCTGTATATACACCCAATAGGGCTCTGAGATCTTTAGGAAACAATCGGCTGGTAGAACCTTGGGTCAGAACCAAACAGGGTGAAGATGCTGCTCACATATGGAATCAGCTCCCCCATGACCTCAGATCTGCCCCAACCCTAATGTTGTTTAAAACAAAACTAAAAACTCTCATGTACTCATCAGCCTTTGAATGAACTGATTCTTATGCTGCGTCTTCTCCATTTTATTTGTGTTCTCATGTTGTGTCATTTCATGCTAATTGTAAAGCATATTGAATTGCCTTGTGTTTGAAATGTGCTTTATAAATAAAGCTGCCTTGCCGGTAAAGAAACTTACCTCACGTGTGGCTTCCACAGCGTTCACGTCACGTGACACGAGAGGTAAAGTTATACTTTTTACATATAAGTTTCAATATAGAAGTCTAACGAGCCTTTTTTACTTTTTAAATTGTGTATATTTTGGTTAAATAAATATGGAAGAGAGTTAGTACTTGCTAGTCACTGAAGCTGTAATGAAGTAGCAGCGGGCCCCTGATCCGCCATCCTTTTGAGAATACAGTATTCTGGGAAAATTTGGACCGACGGAGGACAAACAATGAATGACTATGTCCCTCTTTGATCATTTTAAAGGACCATTTTGTGATTATTTCACTGTACAACTCTACACATTGCTCCTTTAACTTATTATTATTTATTTATTTAAAACTAATAAAACAAAAATGGGTCCTTGATTCAAACTCTGATCAACACGGGCAGAAATTTTAATTCTGAATGTAAATTAGCAGCAAAAGGAATTTTTCCACTCCTCACTAGAGGAGATGGTGGTTAACCTGTCCTGTCAGAAGGCAGCACTGTCTGAGTCAGAGGCTCAGTTCCTGCTAGACGGGAACAAGCTTAACATCCAACATGCTCACACATTCAGAGTTAGAGGACAGAGAAGACACCTTTCATGTTCTCTGTGATATTTATGAACTGATCAAATGTGAACAAGAAAAGGACAAGTTGTCCTCCAAACATAGAGACCTGACAGTAGCCTGTGTGTTGTTGAGGACAACAGGGCAGGACAGGAAGAGCTGTGGACCCAGCAAAGCCTCATGCGTCCCCAGACGGGACAGACAGGCGTTTAGCTGCTGCCAAACCTGGTTTATCCACAGCACTGAGCGCTCCATGAGCCCGTCGGGGGACCAAGCTCCAGTCCCCATCTGCAGGACAGACAAACAGAACAGTTCATTCAACTGAGGACACGTGGCTGTTCCTCTTAGTTGTCCATGTGAGAGACAAGCACATTTAAATATGTCAGGATGAACCAGACTCACCTTATGGAGAAGCTTCCTGCGGAGATGTCGTCCCAGCAGGCCATGCAGCGGCTCCTGGTCCCAGCGAAGACTCACCCAGCGGAAATGCTGCTGAAGACGAAGCTCCGCTCCTTGTAGGCGGGGCTTCGACAGCGTTCCAATCAGAAAGTTGTCCTCCATGAAGTGGTGCGGACCTGATGGATGAAACGGAGACAACCAAAAATTTGTGATTTATCAGTTTTTATTTCTATCAGCTCTAGATTTGATGGTTTGTTCAAACCACACCAAGACAAGACATTTAAAACCAGATGTTGTTTAAGCTACAAAAACTGTTGGGGTCATACCGGTACTCAGAACCAGAGGACAGGCGGAGCTCCTGTTGTCCAGGCTGTGGCAAAGGTCTCCCAGCAGGCCTGTAAGGGACGAAGCCTTTTCCAGTCCTTCCAGCAGCACCAACACACAGGGGCCAGTGTGACCAGTAGCTGGCCCAAACCTCGACTCCCTCACTGGCACCAGGAATCCTGCGATACCATGGGACATGATTAGTGATGTGGGATGAGGGTTCATGACTGCAAAAAGCCCAAACCATCATTCCTCCACCACCGTGCTGACAGCTGGTCTGAGATGTAGGCTCGTCTCTGAACATGGAGCTGTGCATTATAGGTAAACATCTGTTCTTTGGTCTCATCTGTTTCATTGAGAAGAGATTTCCTTCTTTAAAAAAGCCAAACATGTCAGGCCCTTCATGACCTTTGACCTTTAACCTGCTGACTCTGCCCTGTGGGGTCTCAGACAAAGCTTCAAGGTTTAAGGGGAACTTGCTGAGTCATCCATTCTAAATATTCATCACTAGTAAAGATTACTGTTAAAGACGGGACTCCAAATAGCTTGGAAATGACCTTTGACCTTTCACAGTGATGAGGTTGTTGCTGATGTCTTTCCTCCACATTGTCTGTTCATGGTTCCGTGCCTGCTCCTTACAGGAGGTTCTGGTGATGTGTGTTGCCATCAGAACATCCTGGTAGGCTCTGGTGTTTGCCTCTTCCTTTCTGCCTCCAACATATAAATAACTAAAGGTCCCATGTTCCTGGTTCCAGGTGCCGTAAGATCCCCTCTGTTTATCCACCACACCTGCTGGTGGGCAGTTTGTCTCGTTACCATAGAAACATCCTCATTTTCAGCCAGAATGGATGCTGAACCAAGTCAGTTTGGACCTTCAGCATTACTTGAATAACGTGTGTGTGTGTGTGTGTGTGTGTGTGTATATACACCTCTCACCACAGTTGATGAACGTTTCCAGCAGCTGCTCCTTGGTCAGGCTCTCCTCCACCTCCACCCTCACCACGTCACAGCTGATTCCCCCCGCCTCCTGCTTGGACTGGCAGGAACACGGCGTGTTAGGGATGAGAAGGGGGCGAAGAAGAGGCAAAATTAAGTAAGATGGGAGCACGTTGTCATGGAAACAGAAAATGTACTACAGCAACGTGCCGTGAGAAATGGAGCAGGAAGACAATCTGAATGAACACAAAGAGCTCGATCCTTTCTGTCAGTGAGGAGGAAGTCTGCAGCTGAATAAAACCAGTAGAATCTCCAGATCCAGCAGGAATGGAGGCAAAGCACCAGTATAAAACCTTTTACTACTACTGCTACTGCTGCTGAACATTTGATATCACCTAGTCTATTAGCTCCATTAGTCATTGACTATAGGGTAAAATGTCTTGTATTAAAACATAAAACATACATATGAAGTGTTCATCACATCATATGCATGAATAAAATGAAGCTTAGATTATTTATGCATTTAGATGGTTTAAATGTCCCTGCTTATTCATCATGCTGTGACCATTTATCCAGATGTTCTGATATCTGACATCATTCATGTACATTTCCACTATGTGACCCAGACCCGCTCTACCATGGTACAACGCTTGTCGGTCTATTTTTCTCCTCAGTTACAGAAACATTTCCAGAGTTTGTTCAAGTCAAACATCAGATCAGCTAACACATGACCCTGTTAGCTACAAACTCTGCTCTGCTTCATTTCATTTTAACACAGAGACAGTGGATGTCCTTTCTCTCATGTTTTATTCCTGAATGTTTGAATTCTCTCTGCCACTCTGAAGATAAACCCGCATGAACAAGTTTCCATGAGGAGCCGCCACACTCCGGTGCTGCTGCACATACCTTGATACAGCAAGCCACCAGACCGGCGAGGAACTCCTGACAGC